CTATTCTATTCTATTCTATTCTATTCTATTCTATTCTATTCTATTCTTTCCTGTTCTGTTCTGTTCTGTTCCGTTCCTTTCCGTTCCATTCCATTCCATTTCATTCCATGTCAAATATGACAGTTTTGCTGGTGCAGGATTTCTGTGAGATTTTCCTGTCATAAACTTGCTTGGAGGCATGGAAATATGAGCCTTGACAGTGGCAGAGTGTGAAAAATGATTTGCAGGGAGAGCCAATCTCTTTCTCAAATTGGAGTGTCATGCATCTCCTGAAACAAAGATCGGTGTTCTTTGAAGTGGCCCCTGATAAGCATGCCAACCAGCTAGCATGGCGCATCAGTTGTCCAAGTTATGGAGTGACATTTTCCGTCATTTTGTCAGGCTTGCCCCAGCTAGGTCCCTAAGAAAGAAAGACTGTTGATTCTGCTCGGATGTTTGTTGTTGCTTGCAATTCACATTCCTTTCCTAGGCTCGCCGTCCTTGAAGGCTGGAATCGGCTGGTTCTCACACTTCTGGTTTCCTTCAGGATTGTCACTCCCCCACCCATCTCTATTTTTTACATGCCAATTGCTTACTTCCTTTCCTCCCCTCTTCCCCTAACAGTTTACGGCAGGATGCCAGCAAATGCTAAGCTGAAGATGGCAGATCTGACACATTCTCTCCAGTGGTAGGATTCAAATTTTTTTACTACCAGTTCTGTGGGTGTGGCTTGGGGTGTGTGTGGCTTGGTAGGCATGGCAGGGGAAGGGTACTGCAAAATCCCATTCCCTCCTCACCCCACTAACCTGCTTTCCAGCTCCATTCTCCCATGTAGGGCAACCAAAGAAGACCCAACTAATCAGCTGGGACTCAGGAGGCGGAGAATAGGTGGGGGCAGGGCCAGTCAGAGGTAGGATTTGCTGGTTCTGTGAACTACTCAAAATTTCCGCTACTGGTTCTCCAGAACTGGTCAGAACCTGCTGAATCCCACGACTGATTCCCTCCATAAGCTGGCAAAAAGGAGGTGAGCTGAGCAATAGCAGGGAAGGAGAACAATGAAGCACAGGCAGCTTTACTGCTCCCTAATGGTCTAAATGGAAGAAACCAGAAGCCCAGATGTATCTTCAGGGAGCCTGGCGTTCTTCTGATCGTAACATGACTGTCACCAAGTGGCTGTGATTGGTTTCTTCAGGCTATAACTTAGTAGTAGGAGGAGAGATGTGGCTCTCCTCGACCCTGCTGGTGATCTCCCCTCTCTTCACCACCTCTACGGGGTGGCTTAGCCCTGAAGCCAGTTGGCTCGGGGCGCTCCAGCGGCAAGCCCAGGCAGAAACCACGCACAATCACGGATTCCCGCCTGCCGCCGAAGCCCTGCAAACCGGAAGTCCACTGTGATTGGTTTCTTCAGGCTATAACTTCGTGGCTGTCAATCAGCAGGACAGCTCAAAAGAGAAAGCGGAGTCTTTCTGTGTAAAACAGGAATCTTACAAAGAAGCTTACGGAGGGCAATGAGAAAATAGATTACTGGGAGGGATATATCTTCGTGGGAGAAGACTAAATCACCAAGAGTTTCTGTATCCGTAAGATATGATCCTAGGAAAAGGTTAATCACCAGGGGACACAAGAAAGACTGACCAAGGACGCCGTAGGGAGTATGCTGCTGTTGAGAAGAATAAGGCAATGGATCAGGGGGGACAGGAGATGACGGCTTCATTTCCAGCTGTGCCAGCCCCCTGGCTCTAAACCGAGGCTCTCCCATGCCTCACTTTAAGACCAGAGGCTCTCCCATGCCTCACTTTAAGACCTCAGAGGGACTTGAGAAGCTGTTTTGGTTTTTCTTCTCCCCAGCTTCCACAAACCATTTAAAAAATCGCCACATCTTCTGTGCAATCCGTCTGATGGATTTTGGGAAGCACAAAGGAAATTTTTACACAGAACAAGAATTTTTGGGCTTCTAGTCTCAAACTGTCATGGGGGGGGCGCACAAGACAGGTTTATGGGACATATGGCCACTGGTGGGTTTTTTGTTTTTTTTTGGCAGCTGGTGGCCAAGAACAAGAACAAAACTAGCAGCTCTGCCTTTTGCTACAAACTATTCTTGGCCCTTGTGTTTTGCCCTCACAATTAATTGGTTTACAACAATTCTGGTGGCCAATTCTCGCTTTTATCTATAGCCAGAGGTGGGCTTCTAACAGGGGTTCGGGAGAGCCCCTAGCTAAGATTCTGTGCAGTTCAGAGAAATCCCACTCCCACTCCCTCAAATCCCACTCCTGACTGGCCCCACCCACCCCTCCCCTCCTCTCCCCTCCCTTCCCAGGAGCCCCCATGTGGCCCGTTTTGGATGCAGGGTGTGTGTGTGAAAAACGGCCCTCCCAGAAGTTCAGGAAGACCAGAAATGGGCCCATTTTTGAAGCCCACCCCTGTCTGTAGCACCTGGAATCGATAACATGCACACTGCCAGATAATCTCAAAAGGAGGTCATTGGTTGCCCTTTGAGAGGAATGCTAGAGAGCTGTTCTGGAATCACAATCGGGTACCTCAACCACAAGGCCTGTCCACCATCAGAAAAGAGAAAAAAGCCGGTGGCAGGACAGGGACGTCCAGAGGTGGAGAAGCCCAGCTGGGGCTTTCGAACACCTCTTCTCGCGTTTGGAGGGATCCCCAGTGGATACACGAAACCCGTAGAGCTTTGTGTCAGAATAGAGGACCCCCGGGTTGCTGTTTGGGGGTAGGCAACTCCCCAGCAACGAAGGAAGAGCCTCTGAGACCAGCGCGATTGAGCCAGCTGCCAGCTAATGGCGGCTCCAAAGTCCGGTCTGCCACTGAACTGACGAAGCAAAAAGTGACTGCCTGAAGGGTCTGAGCAGAAAAGGGCAGAAGGACTACAAAGCCGTGAGAGAGATCGGTCTGATTCTCCCTGTTTCATTGTGAGTAACAGCGGGGGAAGCTGGAGACAAGCGGCTAGAAAAGCAGTTTGAAAGTGTGGATTGGAGCGTTGCCGAGGAGAGAAAAAGGCGTGGGGAATTTAAGAAGCTCGGGAGTGGATTGCCATCTCGGATCAGCGCGTGAGAAGGCTAGAAGACTAGGAGAGGATTTTAGCTGCGAAGGAGGGCAGAGCGAGAGGTAGAGAGCCAGATAATGACGCACTGACTTTTATATGCAAGATCCTTTCCTTTCAGCATTATTGCCTACAAACTGATTTTTAAAGTGATCGATCTGAGGCGGATGCCCAAAGTGACTGTGGATTGACAATTGCTGGCAGAAGGGAAGAAGAGGAGGGAAGAAGAAGGAAGAGACAGACGGAAGCCTGGCCAAGACTGTTCGCTGATCGCAGACAGCAATTAGTCAGCACTTCCTCCCCCTGCTTCCTTGGTGCGCCCAGGAGGAGAGACTATAAGACTAAAACGCCAGCCCCAACTCAGACTTGTTTTTCTATGGAACTAATCCTACAGATACGTGCTTTGTGATTCCCTAAAATTGAAAAGACCCCTTTCCTCCTGCATTCTTTCTCTCTCTCCCTTTCTCTTTGTTCTTTCCTTTTTTTCTATAATAGTTAAAAATACAAGTATAAAGGCAAACTGCTTGTTACAGTTATTAGGGTTTACAGATTAGACTCTCTTGGATATATAAAAATTTTAAGGACTGTTAATAGGGGTGTCTCAGATAAAATGGAATCTTAAATATTAATATACACTATAGGACAAAAATATATATAGAGTGAGATATTCTAGAGTTGGTTGTATGCTTTAAACAAGTATGATTTATTAGGGGTAAAATACAATTAACTCTGGTATTTGAATTTAATATAGAGAATAATACATAATACATAATACATATTATTTGATTACATTCTATTGTATAGCATCTATTGTATAGTATTGTATAGTATCTGATAACTCTCTATTGAATTGGAATTTAATTTGCCTGAATGACAGATTGGGCCGAAGAAAGAGACCTAAAATTATCTGGTGTGTAAGCTCAGCAAATAGATTTGTAATCACACTCAAAGGGCCATTACATCGAATGGTGATTTGGGATAATATTCTTAACATTGTCCAATTGCAGAAAAGAGAAAAAAGCCTGCCTAGATTAATCATAGAAAGAATCATACATGCCCAGAGTGACTGGGAGTCATGCTGCATATAAATGTTAAGAGGCAAAGGTAATACAGATAGTAATAGGTGCAATCCCCAGCAACTGAAACTTTCTTGAATATCATCAGCATTGACAAACTCACCATCAATCAATTGCTAAAGGCAGGTTTACATGGAACAGCTTACATTCTGTGAAGATACCTTTAAAAAATATCAACAACTGTCAGGTCCTTTGAAAGGACTTCTTAATAGGTGGACTAAATCCAGTCTGAACATCTGGCTGACCGAGCGATTAATAATAATAATAATAATAATAATAATAATAATAATAATAATAATAATAAAACTACAATACGGGCATTCTAGGAAGACCAGGGGTGCGATTCAAAAATCCCAGCAACCAGTTCACTGCCCAGGTGCTGGATGGGTGTGGCTGTGGTGCGTGTGGCCTACCAGAACTTCCAGGAGGGCTGTTTTTCACCTTCCCAAGGTTCAAGGGGCTTCCCTCGGGCCTCTGGGAGGGTGAAAATGGCCTCCCCCAGTTTCTGGAGGCTGTCCAGAAGCCAGAAACAGGCCCATTTCTGAACTTCCAGTACTTTTGGTAGGGCCGTTTTTCACCTTCCAAAGGGACCAGAGGCTTCCCTCAGGCCTCTGGGATGGCAAGGGCTGTTTTTCCCGCATCCTTTGCACTTACCTGCATCAAAAATAGTCCGTGTGAAGACTCTTGGGAGGGGTGGGCAGGTCTAGCCAGTCGGTTCAAATAGCAGTTCAGCAAACCAGATGCAAATTTAACATCCAGTTCTCCCGAACCGGTCTGAACCGGTAGAATCCCACCCCTAGTAGTTGTGTTTCCTAGCTGGGTCATGCATGGATACGTCTTAGCTTGAGGTTTTCAAAACATGAGGGAGGGGTGCTTTCATTCTGAGAAGTAGTTCATTGCTTGTGAATGTGGGCTCTGAGGACATAAGTTTGGCTAAGTCTTCAGTGACATTTCTGATGTTTCAAATGATGCAAATTTAGTCCTCCGGTATTTTGATATATGTCTTTTATTTGTGATAACCAAGGAAAGGTATACAATCAGATATATGTCAATCCAGTAGTGAAAAGATTGGGTTAATTCATAAATATAATTGTATTGAATTAGTGCCATTCCTTATAAATTTGTCATAAAATATTGATTAGAATGAGGTATGTAGGAAAGTAGCTCACATTTGAAATTCCATCCTGACTGACTGACTGCAGAGAAACTTAACGTAATTCAACCATGGAGTTGCTGGGAATATTTTTCTCCAGGGTTGAAAGCAGGCAAGGCTGGTCCTGCAGAAGGCAGTTGTGCGCATTGCTGGCTGATTGAGGTGGCTGAATCACAGTTCTTGTTTCACTGTTGCTAACTATTTATTGTATCTTGCAAAACATTAAGAAGCTAAGCAGGCAGTTGCTGCAGGCCAACCTTGGCTGCAACTGTATTTAAGTGTTATGCTTTTATGCAGTCAGAAATCCCAAGAACATCAGCATTTCCAAGAGTGGAGAAATAGTTCACTGTTTTCTTTCTTTCTTTCTTTCTTTCTTTCTTTCTTTCTTTCTTTCTTTCTTTCTTTCTTTCTTTCTTTCTTTCTTTCTTTCTTTCTTTTTTCTTTTTTTCTTTCTTCCTTCCCTCCTTTCTTTACCATTTCTGTTCCTCATAATCATGAAAGATGTTAAATCCATCCTCTAAAATGTTGGGTTCTTCCAATTCATGAGCCTGGAAGACACATACACAAAAACGGATTTTCAGATGGGTCGGGTAAAGGCCTTGGCAGCTTGGAAAGGAAAGCACAATCAACATCTTGAACGGAACGGTGAAATGCAGAAATAAGTCTCTGAATTATGTGAGACTTTCAAGAAGAGATTGGACTGCCATTTGTCAGAAATGGTACAGGGTCTCCTCCTTGGGTGGGGGGTTGACTAGATCAGGGGTCTCCAACCTTGGCAACTTTAAGACTTGTGGACTTCAACTCCCAGAGTTCCTCAGCCAGCAAAGCTCTGTGAATTGAAGTCCACAAGTCTTAAAGTTGCCAAGGTTGGAGACCCCTGGACTAGACGACCTACAAAGTTCTTCCAACTCTGTTAATCTGTAAATTCCTGTGGTTTTTGAGGCATGAGCCTACAAGTAGCAGAAATTTTGAGTAGTTTGGAGAACTGACAAACACCACTTCTGACTGGCCCTGCCCCCATCTATGCTCTGCCTCCCGAGTCCCACCTGATCAGCTTGGTCTTCTTTTGTTACCCTGCACAGGAGAACAGACTGGAAAGCAGGTTAAAGCAAAACCTTTAAAACATTATTCCTTAGCTTGATGACCTCTGTATGTATTGGTCAGCATTTTCTCTCTCTAGCAATTAAGAGAATTAAGTGGTCCAAATTAACAACATCACTTCCTGCTGATGTATCCTACCCTCCAATACCAATCAGCTTTTATCCATCTTTAAGAGGAACAATTTCATGAGTACAATTAATATTTCTAGACTTCTTCTCTACCACTTTCTCTAATTTATCTTCATAACAGAACATCTGAAAATCTGATTATCAATTCCTTGGGAAATATACCAACATTTCTGGGCCTATACACAGATTATCACATTTGGTATTAGGACGGGAGAGTGATAGAGGTGAGGATGGAGACAGATTTGAATACCTGGAAAGGTTGATCGTCTGTGCAGGTCACTTCTGGTACGACTGATGGCTCCCAGGGTTTTACATAAATTAAGGCATGGCAGGTCATCAGTTCCTGTCAACCAAACAAAACAGAAAGGGAAACACTCATCTCTTGTCAAATATTGACATATAGATAAAATGCCATGTACAGAATAATTATGTTTTGAATTGAATGGTGTTTTGGAAGAATGTCCTCTTTTCCAAAAGTTGACCATTTAAAAAAAAAATGTTTTCTGAATAGTGTCTTTTATCTATGGGGAAAAGGAATTCTTTCAAAACATTGAAGCAAGGAGTATAAATTAAAGTTGTAAAATCATGACCTACATCTTTGTGTGTACACGTGTGTGTGTGTGTGTGCACATGTGTGCATGAGTGTAAAAAACCCATTCCCAATAAGGGTATATGCAAATATGTTTGGGGTCTTGGGCTTTCCAACTGATTCAGCAGCAAGTTGGAGCAAACTGGGGCATAGATCTCCTTCATTTAATTATAGCCCAATATTAAACTAAATAACGAGTCTTGGTAGATTAAAATGGGCACATTGTGTGAATGAGGCAATTCTTTTCATCTTAGGGTTTGTTTGGGCCCAGGAGTTTTATTAACTTGTGTTTAGTGCTTAGGTTTGAGTAGACATACATCAGATTGTCTTATCGTAAAGATTATCTCAAGACATAATATGCATCCATAGAGAAATGCAACATTTCCCACCAATGTTCCATTTTAAGAATCTGCTTTAAAATGAACTCGTTCCCTTAAGCCTTCCCAAAGGTGCTTTTTCAAGAGGCTACTGGATTTTCTGGTTTTTCTTTGAAGACGCTTCTCATCCAAGAAGCTTCTTCTGCTCTGAAGCTCTTCTCTGGAGAAGCTTCTCAGATGAGAAGCGAAACGTCTTCAAAGAAAAACCAGAAAGTCCAGTTGCCTCTTGAAAAAGCACCTTTGGGACAACCATGACCTGGATGACCTCCATAGACATTGTTCCCTTAAGTAAAATATTCCTCTTGAACTAATCCGAGTGTCTTACACCGCCTTTTACAGCATGGCAGTTTTTATCTGGCTTCTCAACTTCAGCCTTGGAGCAATTTGTTCTCTGAGCTTTGAAGTCAATTCGATATACATGTCCAACCAACATCTGAAATTCAAGGAGAAAAATGATTAGCAACTGTATTTAGACTGGATGCTGAATACCACGAAGAACAAAAATCTTGGCTTGCTATCTAGTTAGCTCATGTGGCCCCAAGGACGCATCCCTTCTCCAGGATTCTAATAAAAGCAAGCAAGAGAAAGATCCAAGGAAAGATGGTCTCCTCTTAGAGGCATAGAAGAAGCTGCCATGGATCAAATCGAACTACTGATCCCTCATGCCGAATATTGTTGATGTCCACAAGCTACATCCCTGGTTATCCCACCCATTTACCTGGGGGAAGTTCAAACATATAAACCACTGGTCTTCCATTACAATATCAACTTTGTATGAGGCCAGCTGAACTGGGAAAGGAGTCAAGGTCAAAAGATAACTCTACCTCAAACCATGTTTTTAAAGAAAATCTATCTTGAAATACAATGGTAGTCAGAATTCACACCTGTCCTGATATCTTTGTTATATCCACAATTTTGAAATAAAAATCACTGCTGCTTTTGATGTTAAATAATTTCACAACAGCTTCTAGAGGCCTCTTCAGTTCTTGACTGTCTGGTGCAAGTGGGCTGTGGCAACCAGGGCACGCTTGGGCAAGAATTCTCATATTGTCTTCAGCTGTTGAAACACATAAATAAAAATACAGGTTTATATCAGGTTATTTTAAAAAAGGAAAGAGTACAAGAATGGCAGTTTGCACCTATCTTATTTTTTTCTTTTTGGTAAGAGATTAATGAACACATTTGGCCGATGCCAAAAATGCATGAGTGCAAATTGTTCTGTAGCAGTTTGGAATTTGTTGTTAGTGGAGGCTATCTACGGATTTATCATGGCCACCAACTTGTGCGTATAAAAATAATGATTTATTTATTCCATTCCACTATACAGTACTGCTCATTACTAAAAATGGCAGACAGCATTGTTCTTCCTTGAGCCAATAAAGCACTAAAGCGGTACGGTGCTTTCAAAAACGACTGAAATATTTCTGAAAACAGGCTGTAAATTAAAAACGTTTGGCATCAGAATCTCGCCGGCTCAAGGAAGAAGAACATGGATCTCAATTTCAATAATATAGCCTGTTGATATCTGTTAGATCTGGGAGGACGGGTCCAAAGACAGAGACAAGACTCAGATAGCAACAACAGCTCTTTATTAGTGACTTCAGATCTGAGCGAAATATCCCAGCTGCAGCAGCCCCTTATATAGGGCTGGCTGCGGCTAGGCAGCCAATGATGGTGATTTGAGTTTGCCGTGCTTGGTTAGACCAATCGCGGCAGCCCGTTAACTAGCCAATTGGATCAGTCTGAGGCGACCAATCACGATCTGCTGCCAGCGGGCCAATCCGAGTTGCAGGCTTTCAAGCCTGCTAGTCCGGAACAATATCTATGGGTCGTCCTTAATTCAAACAGTCTAAACCTGTAGCCTGTAAATAATTTTGGAAGCACTCCCTAACCTGGCCTTTTCAACCACACTTGTTTTCAGATGGCCAATGTGTGACTCTCCAAAAGTTGAACTCCAAGTCCCATGATCCTCTCTACTTTGTCTGGTTGGCTGGGGCCTGATAGGTTCTGCCCATTTCCAGTATCTTTTGAAAGTATGGCCAGAAGGGGGTGATTCTGGGAACTGTAGGTCAGCGCTTCTAAGGGGGCGTTGATATCGCTATTAGAAAACCCTAAAAAATGATCTTGCAAACTGTAAAAACAAGAATGCTTTTAACCTTCTCTCTCTTTTTTTTCTTTTTTCCTTTTTCCTTCTTCTTTCTAAATTCTTTCCTTTTCTCCTTCTCCTCTTTCCTTTCCTTTCCTTTGCCTATTTGTGTATGTATTGTTGGTTGATTTTAATTGTAAAAACTAATAAACTATATTCTAAAAAAAAAGAAGAAGAAAACCCTAAAGAATGGAATGCGTGAGAAAATGGATCTGTGGTTGCTCAGGAACATCAGGCAAGACTGAATCAAGGAAGCAACAGTTACAAACCTTCCGGTCTGCATTCCACTTCTGAATGGATGAGAGTGCCTCTATTGTCAACGTAGGCTTTAGCTTCACAGAAAACTTTTAGCTGGAAGGGGACAAAAAGCAAGAAGTCTGAACCACGCTTTTATCAGGCAGCTCCTTTGTTGCACTCAGTTTTTCCAGATGGCATTAGGAGTGAGTTGCTGGGGGTTCGCAGGGGTTCGGGAGAGCCCCTAGCTAAGATTCTGTGTAATTCAGAGAACCCCCAAATCCCACTCCTGGCTGGCCCCGCCCACCTGTCTCTCCCCTCCCAAGGGTCCCCACACAGCCCGTTTGGGATGCGAGGTAAGTGCAGGGCATGTACAGAGGCTCAGGGAGGGTGAAAATTGGGCCTCCCGGAAGTTTAGGAAAGCCAGAAATGGGCCCGTTTCTGGCTTCCAAAGAGCCTCCAGAGCCCGGGGAGGGCAACCCCCCTCACACTGGTTCAGGAGGCCGAATAGGCCACACCCACCATGGCCACACTCACCCAGCAACCGGGCAGAGAACCCTTTGCTACAATTTTTGAAGTCCACCCCTGGATGGCATCCCTGTATGACTGGCACAAAGTATAAGTGTGAGTTCATTCCCGATTCTAGATAACCTGCTCCAATAGAGAGGAGCCTTTTTGTTACATGCACATGATATCGGATTATGTTTGGCTGTATCCAGTGGTGGGATTCAAATAATTTAACAATCTGTTCGCACAGGGTAGGGTTCTCTGTCGTGGGAAGTGTGGCCCATCCCTGTTCTCCAGCTCTGCCACACATGCGGGACAAGCCTCTCACGACGGCCAACATGACCCTGGGAGAACCAGTTGTTAAATTTCCACCCTTTGCCAAAAGGCTACTTCTGAGGTGGCTGGATGGAGTCACTGAAGCAGCAGGCATGAGCTTAACTCCAGAAGATGGTAGAGGACAGGAAGCCTGGTGGAATATTGTCCATGGGGTTGCGATGGGTCGGACACGACTTTGCAACTAACAACAACTTTCCCTGTTCAAAACTGTTCACAAGCTGCTCTCTGTCTGTCTGTCTGTCTGTTTGTCTGTTGTGGTTAACTGGCAGCAGGTACGGACGGCTGAGGAGAGAGAGGACTCAGATGAGGGGCCAGGACCCTTAGAGAGTGGACTGCTGCCTTCAAAGATTGTGGGGGCTGGCAGCAGTGATGAGGAGGTTTCCAAGGAGCCTATGTCAAGTGCACGTGCACGCAGGATTGTTCGTAGGAAAGAGCAGCTACAACAGCATGGGCAACTCAGGAATAAGGCTGCAAGGTAATGGGCCCTCCTTCAAGAAGATAAAAGCCAGCTGTGAACGGAACATACTTTGCAGAAGGCAAAGACGTTTTGATACTCCAGCCTCGTGGACATTCCAGTATCCTGAGTTTGTATTTGAAGATTCTTGTATTGCAAATTATTTCTTGTCTGTTATCTTTTGGCAAGTCTTGCAGTTTGCCAAGGCTTGTGCTTATCACAACTAATTATTTTGTAAAAGTATTACAAGGTTTCTGTTCCTTTTGGATTGTGTCTGATTTGTTGGAAATGGGCGTGGGTCAGAATACTATCTATCTGTCTGTCTGTCTGTCTGTCTGTCTGTCTGTCTGTCTGTCTGTCTATCCATTCATTCATCCATCCATCCATCCCTGCCTTCCTTCTTGCACTTCTACACTACCTACCTAGTGTACCTCCTTGCACACTGTTCAGGAATCTCTGTCTCGTAGGAGTACGACATAAAAGAAATTCACTTACACCTCCAGAAAGGGGTCTACATTCTGGACTCAAATCCAAAAATTCCTTCTTGGAACAATTTGTTTCATTTATGGAATATTTAAAACGGTAATTCACTCCATTAACCACCTACAAGAAAATTTAAAGAGAAGTTGCACAGGACAAGTACTTTGTTAGGAAAAAAAGGAATTAGCTTGCACAGTTTATCTCAGGTCTGTATTTTTTTTCTTTTAAATGATGGTTTCCAAAATATACACAAGGGGAGGAAACTCAAGGAAGAGCCGTGGTGGTGCAGTGATTAGAATGCAGTACTGCAGGCTAGCTCCCTGCTCACTCCAGCAGTTCAATTCTGAATGGCTCAAGGTTGTTTCAGCTTTCCATCCTTCCAAGGTTGGTAAAATGAGGACCCAGATTATTAGGGGCAATGTGCTGACTATGTAAACCACTTAGAGAGGGTCTGTAAAGTACTATGAAGTGGTATATATGTCTAAGTACTATTACTATTCAACTCTTTTCAGATTTTAGCTAAAATCTATTAAAATACCACATGCTGTATTAAGTCATGATGTTAATTAAGATGGAGAATTATTGGAATATATACAAACCTGACTTTCAGCCTCATTTATTACTGGAAAGCCAAATAAGGAAGAGTGTTGACTCTGATTGTTAAATTGCCGCACGGTGTGTCTCACAATATGAAGCACTCTTGGACTAAGAGTTTTTATGCGATGCCAACAACCTACGCATTGACTCAAACCCACAAATTCCACATGGGATTGTTCTATGTTTTGCTGTCCTGGAAGCAAGCCAATAATAAATTACAACAAGGGAAACAAAAGGAGGCAAATTAAAAAGGGAAGTTACATGGAAATTACCACAGTATACAAACAATTAAGGCTTGCAGGTAAAAAAAAAAAAGAGGTAAGGAATCACCTTAACCTTGCCTTTGGGAAAGAATGAGCAATGCGGGGCAATTCATCTTAGAGAAATTGATGGTAGACAAAAATTACACCTTTCTTTTTAAACACTGGGATTGGGATTTCTTTTTAAACATTGGGATTTATAACATGTAACTTTGCACACGTAGTTATTTGCACATTCATATCAAAAGAAGTGAATCTAGTCCCAGCCTATATAATCTTGCTAGGCAAAAGGATGTATATAGCACCCTACCTCAACTGTACCCTCCTGGTGACCACCAGGTCTACCCCGTTTCCCTGAAAATATGACCTACCCTGAAATTAAGCCCTAGCTTGATTTTTACACATGGGCCCAATATAAGCCTTACTCCCAAAATAAGCCCTAATTAAGATCCCACCCACTCCAGAGTGCACGGGTAACAATTAAGCTAGTGTGGGGATGGAGGAGTGGAGCTGCCCTACTACTTACCTTTGGACAGTTGTAGCCAGGCCTCACACACCCCGACACCTGCCTTGCCGGCCCATTTCTTCTCCAGCCAGCAAAGCTGGCAAGGCTTTCCTGAAGGCCTCTGTAGCTGATAACAAAGCTCCGGATCGATCTGGAGCTCTGTTATCAGTTGCAGAGGCCTTCAGGAAAGCCTTGCCAGTCACAGAAGAAGTTCCTGAAGGCCCCTGACAGCAAAAAGGAGGCCGGGGGTGACATGTGCAAGTGAGATTAGTCAGTGGATGACTTCCCCTAAAAATAAGACCTGGTGCCTTAGTTGGTGGGAAAAAAAATCAGGGTCTTATTTTGGGGAAAAATATTAGAACTGTTCTAAAATATTAGAACTGTAACTCCCAGAATTCCTTACCAGTATTCTTTTACTTTTGAATTCAGGGAGTTCTGAATACAACTTATAAGGTAGCGATGTATAGGATTGTGGTGCAGGAGCAAAATGATTTTTTTTAAAGAGTTTAAAAGTTAAAGTTTAAAGTCATCATTCAGCCCTTAACCATTCTCCAAAAATTCAAACAGCCCAAAGGTTTTTTAACCTACCACATTCTATTCCAACAATATACAACTCCTTATTTTTCAGCTGAGTGATTCATATACTGAGTTACATATTGGAAATTGAGGCTCAAGTTACGGGTAGTCCTCAACTGACAACAATTCAGTTAGTGACTGTTCAAAGCGGCCCTGAAAAATGTGACTTACGATCGTTTTTCAGCATCCTTATGATCGTGTGATCAAAATTCAGATGCTTGGCACCTGGTTCACACCAAGTCCTAGGATCATGCGATCTCTTTTGCGAACTCAAAGGGGATCATGCGATCCCTTTTGCGAACTCAAAGGGGAAGCCAGATTCACTTAACAAACAGGCTACTAACTTATCAACCACAGTGATTCACTTAACAACTGTGGCAAGAAATGGGGCAACACTCACAATAACAGAAATTCTGGGCTTAATTGTGGTCATAAGTCAAGGACTTATGGTGGTGGTATCATCCTGATCCCGCCCCACCTCACAAGCATTGGTTTAAATCTGGCCACTGATTTTTTCTCTCTCCATTATTTTCAGGAACAGGATAGAAAAGGGGTGAATTTTTCAGATTTCTAACTTGAACATTTACTTACCTTGGCTAATTTTGCAATTTTGTGAAATGGAGGTAAACTGTTCTGATTCATTAATGTCGATGTTAGCTGTGCACTTTCCAGAGTGCTGAAAGACAAGCAAAAGGAGACATCAATTTGATATGTTAAATAGGGCACTACTCTTACCTGTGAGAAGTTGTGCAAATCCACTTTCCGCTGTTACGAAACAGATGGTCCCTACAAGGTCCCTTCCAACACTGGTTATTTGTTATCTGTTATATTAAGGTTCTTTTTGCCTGGTTGCGTATGGTGATCCTGGCTGGTGATCCTCTTTCTTCTTGCTGTCCCCGCTAAACTCTTTTCTGCCACTTCAAAGGAGGAAGAATGCATACTTACTGCTTTTGAGGTCCTTAAAAGTTCACACTTTTGCCAAGGCTTATCCACAGCAATTGGACACACGGTTTCTCTTACGTGATAGATGATGAGGAATTTTTTCCTAGGATCTGCCTGAAAAGATTACTTAAATGAGTGCCGTTGCAGTTTCAAATTCATGTAATTAATAAATGGATAGGCTCGAATACACGATTGGGGTGACTAACAGTTAAAAACAACACAGAATAAAGCGAAACACAACCAGTGATTGAAAACATAAACAACATAAATTATCCCAAAGCTGCATTCTTATTAATGGTGGCCAACCCACCTGGGTGGCTCATGGCCTAGGAATTAAAAAAAAAATCTTGCCAATGTTCAGCAATGGGTGGAAACTACTCAAGGAGAGAAGCAACTTAGAAGTAAGGAGAAATTTCTTGACAGTGAGAACAATTAATCAATGGAACAACTTGTCTGCAGAAGTTGTAAATGCTCCAACAGTGGAAGTTTTTAAAAAGATGTTGGATATCCATTTGTCTGAAGTGGTGTAGGGTTTCCTGCCTAAGGAGGGGGTTGGACTAGAAGACCTGCAAGGTCCCTTCCAACTATCCTATCCTATCCTATCCTATCCTATCCTATCCTATCCTATTCTATTCTGTGTTTCTCGAGCATGTAATAGTCCAAAGAACCTCAGAGAAATAGTTGAAGTTGTATCAATACAGGTAGTCCTCAATTTACAACCATTTGCTTGGCAATTGTGCAAAATTACAGTGGTTCTGGGAGGAAAAATGACCGTCCTCACACTTATGACCGACACAGCACCATCATGGTTACATGATTGAAATTTGAGCACTTGGCAACCAGCATGTATTTATGACGGTCCGGCATCTTGAGGGTCATTATTTACCACCTTCCCAGCCAGCTTCTGTCAATCAAAATCAATGGGGTAAGCTGGATTCACTGAACGACTGCATGATTCACACAATTGCATTGATTCACTTAACAACCGTGCCAAAAAAAAGGTAGTAAAATCAGCTGCAGCTCATGAAACCACCTTGTTTAGCAAGATAAATTCTAGTCCCAATTAAGGGTCTTAAATTGTGGACTATCTTTAATGGCTTTGTAGAGGGAAGCACTTTGGATGCAGACAGAAAAAGGTGTTTTCTTGGATTATGCAGGCTCATTCTCTATTGTAGTGTGATCCCTGGAATACACCCAATTGCCTTAGGGAGGCTGCCAACAGGGCATGTGTGCATACCCACAATCTCTCTCAGGATCACTTGGAATCCAAACGGCTCCCTTGGATCGATTCCAGCATTGCCAATTCATTCCACGAATTAAATTCATGGAAATCCCAAGTTAGGCGATGTTAAATGGAACGCACGCACCAAAAGGTTGCATCGTGTTATGTTTGTAGGGCAGAGCAGCAAAATTAGGAAGGAAGATCGTGCCCTCCAAAATTCGGGACTGCAGCTCCAATAATTCCCTCAGTTCCAGGGATTGAAATCCAATCGACTTCAAAAGTGCCAGACTCATAAAGATTGTCTGATAATATGGAAGAATTCTCCCGCTCCCCAAATAAAGTTTTTGAAATTAAAACACTTGGTTGGAAGGCAAATTCCCTCACTGCTTGTGGAATTAATTTTATTGAGCCGAAGTTCAATATTTTTGGATTATGTTGGGAAGGTCCACTTACTGTCACTAAATGTTCATTGGAATAGCAACGGGGCTCCTTTTAGCAAATCTTAGGTTGGGGGAATGAGATTACAAAAGAGAAAAATCCCAAGTAAAAAGAACTGAATACAGAAAAGATAACTATTTGTCACGCATGTGCTATTTTTCTTTCGTTCCGTTAAATTAAATATCAAATCAGATGACCACCATTCAATGTTGGGAGGAAGGTGCTGATGGTGCATTCCCCAATTATGAAATTCTCACTAATGAGCCTTCAGATGTTGTTAACAAATTTACTTACTATTCTGTAGGCATGAAGGATGGCACCTAGGGCCAACTTATTTCCATGACTTCTGTCTTCATTAAGTGCTGCTATTGCTCCAGCCACAGCATCGACAACTTCTGGATCATTTCTGTCCACTTTGTCTCGAGCGGCTTGGCAAAATCCAATGCCGAGGAGTAGCAGAATGAAGACTTCCATATCCAGGTTACTGAAGCTCCTTTTGAAATCTGATGAATGTGTGAAGGGGAGAAAGAGCTTCAATATAACTGGTGGGGTATGTCCTCCTAATGGAATTCAGAGTGCTTAAATATAGGCAAAAGTCTTTCATGAGCTTGGGTCATACTGAACTGAAATGTCAGTGTGAACATCCTTTAGGGTTTATTTAAGCATTTGCTTTTTTTAAAAAAAAAATACTAAGTTTATTCACTTGCAGTTTACCATGAAATTTGTTACTTTATAATGTCACGGTCAGAACATACAGTTCTGACTGTAGGTCACTTTGGGTCGGTTCAAGAATATTTTCCAGATTGATAATAAGCAGGTTTCAAAGGGAGAAAGAATGGAACTTAATAGTTTCCAAGCTTTGCAAGTTTTCCTTCTCTGTTGTCAAGCTTGAGGAGATAATTATGTCCATAACAGGATTAAACAGGTGTAAAAAAAATATGATGGAATTGCTGGTTTCATCAGAACTACAATGATTTTTCTCCTCTTTTTCAACTTGGTGTTTTGAAATATTCCAAGGAAGAAAAAATGAGGTTGTTCTTTTTTTTAAAAAAAAAATCAGGGATGGAGAATTGGCTTTTATTAAAGGTGATATTCCTGCAGAAGTCAGCCTCTGGGGCAGAGATCCAGCAAATGGAATATAATCAGTTGCAACCGGGAGATAAACACTGCCCAAGTCCACATAGAAATAGTTATAGAACAGAGCTGGAAGGGAACTTGGAGGTCATCTAGTCCAGCCCCCTGCTCAAGCAGGAGAACCTATACCATTTCAGATAAGTGACTGTCTAGAAGTGATGGAGCGCTCATGATTTCTGAAGGCAAAGCTGTCCCACTGATTAATTGTCTTCACTATTAGGAAGTTTCTCCTTAATTCCAGGTTGCTTCTCTCTTTGATTAGTTTCCAACCATTGTTTTTTGTCCATGAGGGGTCTCCATCTATATTTGATTCACCAGCCCTTGTGGTATCACTGCTTTTAACTTGGGAACTCCAGTCACCTTTGAAAATATCTGTAGTGCAGAAGAGGGCTTGGATTCATGGTCTTGCCATAGTCTTGCCAGTGATGTCAAGAATATGGCAAGAGTTGTCCTCCAGAGTTGTGCTGGAGCTGCCTTGCAGCAGCTTTTAAATACCAATTATTTTAACACCCCCCCCCCCCGAATAATGTGAGCTGGTTAAGAGCACAGTTGAGCCACGGAACAGCCTTTGAAAACCACTTAAAAGCAGAAAGCTTTTAATACTATTTACTGACTAATATTTTCTGGCAACAAAATTGGGATTTTAGTAAGCTAAAATGGGTCTGGCTAATATTTTAATGCAAACGTATTGTGGGAACCCAGTAACTGTCTTCTAGGTACTTGAGGGGCTGTTAGAAAGCAGAGTGGGTTGACTTGTTCTCCGAAGCACCAGAGGAAAAACAGTAATGGGTAGAAGCTTGCTAAGGAGAGATCCAACCTAGAGGGAGAATTTTCTGGCAGTGAGAACAATTAATCAATGGAATAGCTTGCATCCTGGACTTTTGGGTATTTCATCACTGGACATTTTCAAAAATTTGACCGAGATGGTATAAGGTCTCCTACCTTGAGCAGAAGGTTCGACTACCAGGGTCTCTTCCAGGCCTATGTTTCTATGTTTATTGTCTTAGCATCAGGGGTGGGATTCAATTTTTTAACAACCGGTTCTATGGGCGTGGTTTAGTTGGTGGGTGTGGCTTAGTGGTCATGTGACTGGCTGGGTGTGGCCAATTCAACATCACTTACATCGAGGCATGCATCTCCTCATCTAGTCTCTTGTGACTGTGGGGATGCTGCAACAGTTGTAAGTGTGAAAAATGGTCATAAGTCGCTTTTTTCAGTGCCACTGTAACTTTGAATGGTCACTCCACACAAGCAGAGTACCAGCAAAGGAGGGGAAAAAACTCCAAAGAAGTTCCAGAGACAGGAAGTCTAGTCCTGCCAAGAATGTAATCAGGGTTAATGGAGAGGCAGTTTCTGTAAGCAACACCAGAATGTTTCCTTCCTGCCTTCCTTACAGGACCAGGCCAGTAATTACTTCTAACAACTGGTTCTCCAAACTGCTTAGAATGTTAACAACCGGTTCTAGCGCATAGGTGCGAACTGGTAGAATCCCACCCCTGCTTAGCATGTTGGTTTACCAGGCTGTCCTATTAATATGACTTTTGGACACAGGACCTTAACCAGGGGCGAGCTTCAAACTTTTTAGCAAGGGGTTCTCTGCTTGGATGCTGGGTGAGCATGGCCATGGTGGGCGTGGCCTAGTTGGCCTCCTGCACCATGGTGGGGGGGAGGGGAGTTTTTGCCCTCCCTGGCTCAGGAGACTTTCTTTGAGCCTCTGGGAGGGTGAAAACAGACTCCCGGGACTCCGGGGGCTCTCTGGAAGCCAGGAACAGGCCCATTTCCGGCCTTCCCGAACTTCTGGGAGGCCTGTTTTTCACCCTTCCTGAGCCTCTGCACATGCCCTGCACTTACCTGCACCCAAAATGTCTGGGGAATCCTGGGTGGGAGGGGCAGGGTGGGCGGGGCCAACCAGGAGTGGGATTTGGGGGTTCTCCAAACTGTGCAGAATGTTAGCTAGGGGCTCTCCTGCGAATCCCCAGTTGCCCACCCCTGAGTTTAACAGGGCTTTAGGGTTTATATTTGAATAGATGTACATAGGATTTTCCTATCAAAAAGATGACCTCAAGGCTTAATTGCTGAAACTTTAGAACTGAAACATTGTTTATCAATTTTTCTGGTCAAATATCAACTTGACTGATTGAACCCTTATTCTCTAATGTACAATATTCCTATTCCATCTTTTACAGCAGTAGAATCTTCATTTAGATGGTGGAACTCAGCTCGTGTTCCCAAGACATAGAGATTCTGCAGCATGCTGGCCTTCCTTTCTATGGTGCCCTCCAGTTCGCTGCCCCTAAACACTTTCACATTACCTGCTTAGTTATCAATCAATCAATCAGAATAGAGCTGGAAGGGACTTTCGATGTCTTCTAGTGAGTCCAACCCCCTACTCAAGCAGGAGAACCTATACCATCTCAAACAAGTGACTGTCTGGTCTCTTTTTAAAAACCTCCAGCGATGGTGCATCCACAACTTCTGGAGGCAACTTCTGTTCCACTGGTTAATTATTCTCACTGTCAGGAAATTTCTCTTAAGTTCTAGGTTGCTTCTCTCCTTCTCTCCACCCGTTTGTTCTTGTCCTGCCCTCAGGTGCTTTGGAGAACAGCCTGACTCCCTTTTCTTCTTTGTGGCAGCCCCTCAAACACTGGAATACTTATTTTATTTATTTCTTTATTTGATTTGTCCATCGTTTACAAAATAATAGGTACAAGTATAAACATGAGTAAGAACACAGAAAATAGGTACGATTAAATGGGGACAATAGGACAGGGACAGGAGGCACGATGGTGCACTTATGCATGCCCCTTAATACTGCTATCATGTCACCCCTGGTCCTTCTTAGTTGTAAATAATTGTGTGTGTGTGTATTCGATTATTTAAACTTATATATATTTGATTATTCCGAAATTTAGAGGGTCCAGGAATAACATTTTGTATCTATGTCAATTTTGTAATAGAAATAACGGACACACTTTACTTATTTATTAATTTAAACTTATATGCTGCCCATATTGGTGACTCTAGGTGACTTACAATCAATAAAAACGACAATATAAAACATTAAAATAATAAATAGTAATGCTAAACCTGGTTTAAAATGGACAAAGATGACTAAAAAAGGGAGCAGGATGCCCAGGAGAAGGAGGTGCTGTCTTATCTACCTCCAGAATGACATGATACCCACTTTAGGGCCAAGGCCAGTTGGGAGATAGTTCACTTCAGGGCTGGGGCACTTTACTTGTGGCTTTGACAATTTGAGAAATCGTTATGTTGCAGTTTACATTTGCTGCTAGTGATCCCATTGTGCGCTTCTTCATTGCATCATAGTCGTTTATATGTGTACACACAGAGCTTTGGAATGGTTTGTTCTGTTCCACTGAAAATAGTTGTGAAAGCTATATCTAATCCAACATTATTGTTTTTTTACATTGGTCGTATATTTTCAGTGGGTTAACCTGTGCTCTTCCTGATGTTGAGCAGCAGATACATCCATCTGTTCCCAGAATTTGGATGCTAAGAATATCTGGAAGGCTCCTAAGTCAACAAACTGGGTGACCAGAAAAAATTTCCACTAAGTAATATTAGTATCAGCTCTACAGGAACCTTGTCACTAGAAGAAGGCAAAAAATAAATAAAAAGGAGAATTAAACCCCGCTTTTATCAAATAATTTCTTTGTGTCACTTAGAGGATTTTTTCCCCCAGGGATCCAGATGGCATTAGTGTGAGTGTAGAATAGAGAAAAGAAACACACAGAATTGAAACTTTTTGCCTTATACACACAGAGTCAAAATATGACTCTTTCAATCCATGGAGATTCTCAATCAGAACAGAACTGAATAAGAGAATTGGGATCTTGGAGGACTTCAAGGCCAACCCTGTGGTCAAGCAGAAGACTCCATACAGGGGTCTCCCACCTTGGCAACTTTAAGCCTGGAGGACATCAACTTCAATGAGTTGGCCACAGTGAGTTGGCTGTGGCAAGTTGTCCCATTCTGGTAGTACACACCTATGACAATGTCATTTCTCCCTACCCCTTTATATTGACCCATATGCATTCTAGGAGGCTTTCATTCTTGGTTTTGTGCATTTCTGTAGAGATGTAGTGATCTTTTGCATGTAAGGCCACTTCATTTCTTTTGTTTCTTTTGAACAGTTTGTATCCTTCCATCAAAGGGCTGTGAAAATATTTACAGATCCCTCATAAACTGTTTCAACTCCTACCCTCAAAACGACACTATAGAGCATTGCACACCAGAACAGCTAGACACAAGAACATTTTTCCCCTGAAAGCCATCACTCTGCTAAACAAATAATTCCCTCAACACTGTTCATCTATTACAAAGTCTGCACTACTATTACTATTAACCTTCTCATTCCTCCTTATCA